AGACACACGCACGGACACATACACGCACACACACAGACACACAGACATAGACACTCATACACACATGCAAACACACACACGCTCACACACACACACGCGCGCGCACACAGAGGCACACACACACACCCACGCACATGCACACAGACATAGACACATGCACGCACACACACACATACACACACAGACACACACACACAGACATAGACACTCTTACACACATGCAAACACACACACGCGCGCATACAGAGGCACACAAAGACACACACCCACACAGACACAGACACATGCACAAACACACACACACACACACACACACACACACACACAAAGGTAACGTCCTGACCGTTGCTGTGGTTTCCCCTCTGGGACCTCCAGGTGAGAAACCGTACGAGTGCTCCAACTGCAAGCGGCGCTTCTCCCACTCGGGCTCCTACAGCTCCCACATCAGCAGCAAGAAGTGCGTGGGCGCGGCGCCCGCCAACGGCGTGACGCGCCTGGTCATCAAGTCGCCGTCGCCCAGCGCGCAGAGCCGGCCGGTGGCCATCGCCCCCGCCCGCGTCCTCATCAAGGAGAAGGCCGAGAGCAAGCCGCTGCAGGAGCAGCTGCCCGTCACCCAGATCAAGTCCGAGCCGGTGGAGTACGAGTGCAAGCCGCTGACCGCCGCCCCGCCGGCCACGCCCCCGGCCGGCCACGCCGTGGCCCAGCCGACGGCGGCGGCGGTGGGAGCGGCGGCCAACTTGCCGCAGGGCGTGGCCATGGTGGTGCCCACGGTGGGCCTGGTGTCGCCGGTCAGCATCAACCTGAGCGACCTGCAGAGCGTGCTGAAGGTGGCGATGGACGGCAACGTGCTGCGGCAGGTGCTGGGCTCGGCCAACGGCGTGGTGGCGCCGGGCAAGCAGGGCATCGTGGTGCAGCAGCCGCAGCAGCAGATCATCAGCCTGCCCGCCTTCGTGGACCACGACGGCACCACCAAGATCATCATCAACTACAGCATCAGCCCCGCCGCCGCCGCCACGGCAACGGCGACCGGCCAGCCCACACCGCTGCTGGTCAAAAGCCAGCTTGCCGCCGCCGCCACGCCCGCCGCCTCGGCAACCAGCCAGACGCAGGCGGAAAGAGCCCCGACTCCCGAAGTGGCCGACCTCACGCTGGTCAAGAAGGAGCCCCAGTGCGAGCCGCTGGGCGCCCCGGCGGCGGCGCCGAATGAGGAGGAGGAGATGGCGGCGCCGGTGGACCTGTCGGAGCCGGCGGCGGCGGCCCGGGTGGCGGGCGGCGGCGGCGCCTGCCTGCTCTGCGACGACTGCCCCGACAACCTGGAGGCGCTGCACCTGCTGCAGCACCGCAAGGCGGCCAACGGCGAGGCGGTGGACTCGGCGGCGCTGGACCCGTCCTTCGCCGCGCTGCTGAGCGAGGCGGGCGTCACGCTGGCGGAGCCCTCGCCGGTGGACGACCTGCTCTCGCTGCTCAGGACCTACTTCGCCTCCAACGCCAACCCCGGCGAGGCCGAGCTGGCGAGGATCGCCCAGTCCGTCAGCATCCCCGTGGAGGTGGTCAGGAAGTGGTTCGCCAAGATGAACTGCGGGAAGAGGGCGGGCGAGCGCAACAAAGAGGCGCCACTGGCGGCGGTCGGGTCCAAGAGGCCCGCCCCCGAGGACGCATCAAGCCAGAACGGCGAGGAGGAGGCGGAGCCGGCGGCGTCCAGCGGAGCCCCGTCGGACTGCGGGTCCCCGCCCGGCGCGCTGACCGGCGGGCTGGTGATCGTCAAGAGCGAGCCGGAGGACGGCGAGGGGGGCGACTCGCAGGCGGAGCCGCTGGACCTGTCGCTGCCCAAGCAAGCGATGGCGGCGAAAGCGGCGTGCAAAGCGGGCGCTCCGGCCGGCAAGCAGCAGGAGCAGCCGCTCAACCTGAGCTGCCAGCTGAAGGGGCGCACCATTTACGTGGCGGCGCCGCCCGCCGGCATCGTGGCAACTGCCGCCCAGCTGCCCGCCCTGGTGGCCATCGCCGGCCACCAGGGCGGCGCCGCCGTGGGCTGCCTGGGCGCCAAGCGCACCATCCTCATCCCGCAGCTCACCTACACCTACGCCGCGCCCGCCGCCGCCGCCGCCGGGGCCAAGACCGTCGTCCTCAACGGCCACAAGGTAGGTGGCGCCCGTCGGAGGAAAAAACCCGAGTCCGGCGCCGCCCGCCGCGGGGCTCACAGACGTCTCTCTCTCTCTTTCCCTTCGGCTCCAGGTGCAGGACAGCCGCCCGGAGAGCAGCCCGGACGCCGGCGGCGGGGGGGGGCCGGAGGAGCAGAGCGACGCCAAGAAGCGGCGGCTGGAAAACGGCGTCTACCCATGTGACCTCTGCTCCAAGGTGTTCCAGAAGGGAAGCTCGCTGCTCCGACACAAATACGAACACACAGGTAGGAGTCTCCCCCCCCCAACCCTAACCCTAACCCTAACCCTAACCCTACCGTACCCGTTAGACCACCGGGCGGAGCCACAGGTTTAAAGACCGGTTGTTCTATTCTGTGTGGTGAAGCCTTAACTTTTAGGAGATCTGGGCGGCATTAAAACGAGGAAATGCCCCCACTCATAAACATATTTTTATGGAATATTATTGAATGTTAGTTTTCAGTAGGTAGGAGTCTCCTACCTGATGCCCCCACTGATGAACACGTTAAACAGCAGAAAGTAACCGATAAACCAGGTCGGAATATTCTGGAATGTTTTAGTTGAGTTGATTTTCTCGATCTTTTGAGTTTATTTTCTAGTTGTTGATCAGTTTGGATTTATTTTTTTAAATCTAGAGACACATGTTAGGGTGTCACTCTCATGGCCTTCAGCGGCTTCCAGGACATTTTAATGAGCAGTGGTTTCTGATGCATTTATTTAATTTTCAGATGATAATATAATATCAGGGGAAAAAATGAAGCCGTCCATCAGTTTCTTCTGGGAGTCTTTATCACAGGATATTAAAACAACATGCACCATGTGGCCAATGGTGGCTCCACATCTATGCATAATCGTGCATATGATATGAATAATAAGACACAACAGTGAGGGAAGTTTTGCAGCTGAACGTAAACCCTCGATTGATGGGACTTGGGGCTGTATAAACTGTCACCCTCATGTATCACAAAACAGACATGCTCTAAGTTCCTCTTAACTCAAATATCCTACTGAAATTGTCAATGCCAAAGTTATTCAGATACAGTGTTGCCTTCGACCCCGGGGGGGATTGGGCGGGCCTAAAAAGGCCTGAGTGTGATTAGACGTGCTGTACGACTACATATGACCACATAGGACAGGGAGTCTTGTCTGTAACGCTGCGCTCTGTGTGCCCTCCCCCTCTTCCCCCGTGCAGGAAAGCGGCCCCACGAGTGCAGCATCTGCAACAAGGCCTTCAAACACAAGCACCACCTGATCGAGCACTCCCGGCTGCACTCGGGGGAGAAGCCCTACCAGTGCGACAAGTGCGGGAAGCGCTTCTCCCACTCGGGCTCCTACTCCCAGCACATGAACCACCGCTACTCCTACTGCAAGAAGGACGGCGCCGGCGGCGGGGGGGGCGGTGGCGCCCCGGGGACGCGCCGGCCAATGGCGGAGCCGGGCAGCCCCGGCGGCGGCGGCGGCGGCGGGCCGCAGTCGGACAGCCGCACCACCACCCCCCCCTCCCAGATGGACTCGGACGAGAGGGAGAGCGAGGAGGAGGAGGAGGAGGAGGAAGAGGAGGAGGAGGAGGACAAGGAGGCCATGTGCATGGACGACATCCGGGTGGTGCAGGTGGACGACGGCGAGTGCGAGATCTACGAGGGGAATTTCGAGGAAGAGGAGGAGGAGGAGGAGGGGGGGGAGACTGAGGGCCAGGGCGGCCAGCAGGAGTTCGCCTGCGACGTGGTGGAGGTGGAGCTGGGGGAGGGCCCGGCGGGGGGGGAGGCGCCGGACGCCGGAGCGCCGGACTGTGAGGCGGCCGGACCGGACAACGGCGAGGAGGCCGGGAATGCCGACGTGCCGGCAAAGGAAGCGGCAGCCAACGGATAAGAGAGGAAAAAAAAGAGAAAGGATTTTCAAAAACGCGAGTCTCGGAAAGTTGCCTAATTTAAAAAAAAACAAAAAACGGTCCACTACTGTGTAGAAAAAACCCAGGTGTGCCTGAACCTAAAGAGAAAAAAACCGGACAAGACTTTTTACCCGCGGAGATGAATTATCAGTGTTTGAACCCGTTTCTAGAAGTCCCGATTTTGAAGTAGAAGCCACCCATCGACTCGTCAAACTCGTTACTGAGACATCCCCCCGGACGTCTTTCTCCTTCTTTTCCCCCGTCGACCGCTCAGTGTTACTAATCTTTGTCCCGTTTGAGAAACCTTTTAACCTGTAAAGACGAGAAAGATTTCTATACCTTTTTATTGCCAATGAAGTTTCCTAAATCAGTATTTTATTGAGTTCTACGAACAAAAAAACCTCTGCACTACAGTATTCCTGGTTTACCTACGGATACATGCCTCATGCATCGTATGCCCTTCAGTGTTATGTGTGCGCGCTAGCTAGCCGGACGCTGTTGGTGTTCCTATAAGTCTGCGCTAGCTAGCATGTCTTTTTGTTTTTTCAGTTCGACTGTTAGCCTTAAGGAAAACAAAGTATTCCCGGGGAGGGGTTGTGGGCGCCAAGGGGGGGGTGGGGGTGGGAGGGGGGAGGCTTCCTGACGCCATAACCAAATCTGTCCTATCAGGGAACGGTGGAGTCACGACCTCAGAGCCCGGGCGGAGCCCCCCCCCCCCCCCCCCCCGACCTCACCGAGCTTTCTTTCCTTTCGGTTCACTTTAGTTCTCAGTCGGCGTTCCAGTATTCGGAGTCAAAACTGTACGCGAAAGGAGCGGGGGACGCCCCCCCCGCGCCACCCCAATGCCTCCAGCCTTATGCAAGACCTGTGTGCTGTTTAAAGTGCCATTGAACAGTGTTATTATTTTCTCCTTCACACATGTAGCCAGTATTATGTCCCCTCTGTTACCCACGCGCCGCCCACGTTGGCTAATGTTTGTTGACTTGCACAGAACAGCAAAATTTGTCACAATCGAAGGACACTTCCTGTGAAATCAACGAAATCCGAGGCCTTTTTTTTTCTTTTCTTTTCGCTTTTCTTTTTTTTTGTTAGAGGACGAGTTAAAGTTGGTCAATTACATTTTCATAACCAATCCACAGGCTGTTCTCCCTTCTTTCCAAATGTGACGTCTTTGCATTAGTTTAATTGGCCGGACTGTCAAAATTATCCCCAAAATATCCGGTTTACGTTGAAACAAAAGAGAGAAAAGCTGCAAAACCTCTTAAAGGAAAAGCTGAAGCTGAGTTTTCTGTCTGAGAAATAGCAGAATAAAGATGTTAGCCTCCTTCCCGCGTGCCAAAAACGGAACTCAGCCAAACTCTGGGGGGTGTCTCCGTTTCTAAAACCCACCCCAAAAGGGGGTGGAGCCACCAGGACCTGCTCACCGGTTCACCCTTCACCCCCGCAAAGCAAACAATGCAAACGTCCCTCGTGTTTGGGAGGGAGAACACCGCGTCACCGCGTGACTCCTCTAAAACTTTGTTTTTTTGTTTTTTTTTGTTTGTTTTTGTTGTCGTAAAAGTCGTAGCTTTCGGGGCTGCGGAAAAACCGCTCAGAGCTGCAGCGCAGACTGAGATTTCCTGTGGATAGACAGACGGCCTCGAAAAGCCCGGAGACCAGCAAACAGTTCCGGCTCAGGAAGAGACCAAACAAAAAAAAAAAAGGGGGGGATCAGATCCCGACCAGGTCTAACGAAGAAACAGCCACGTTCTGCGCACTTGCTCTCGGCCAGTTTGGCAGAAAAACGGAAATTGTGACAAGCTGTCCCGCACTTCAGGTAACAAGCGTTGGTGAATGTGGTGTCTGGAGAGTTTTAGTTTTACCGAACAGTGTTGGTAGTATTAGTCTTTTTTTGTTGTTGTTGTTTTTTTTTGTGTTTTTTTTCATGTGTCCGCTGTATGATTTTTGTCAACAATGGCAGTATTAGAACCCTTTTCACAGATTAAAAGAAAAAAAATATTCCTGTTTAGTTTATAGAAAACTTTTTTATATTTATGTGTCTTATTTTTATATTTTCTTTTATGGTTATTTATTACACATTGTAGTGTACATTACTGTAGTTTGAATTGATACAATAATATATTTTAGTATGAAAAATAATCTTGAGACATACAAAATTCCCAAATGTGGTTCTGGGAGCTGTTTGTTTTAACAAAACAACTACAAAAAAATAAAATGGACAAAAATGCAAAAAAAAAAAGAAAGATTAATAAACATGTATTCTGTCAACTTGACTTCAGTTTTAAGCTAAACAAAAAAGAAAAAGACAGGAATGAAGTGAGAAATAGAAACTGTTACATGTGCATCCGCTCTTTGCGTCGTTATGAAGCTACTGAAATCTAAAATCTGTGACGTTAAAAGCATGAGTCGTCGCCATTTTAATGAAGGATCTTCCTATGAAGTCGTTAGTCCTCCCTTTTTTTTT